GGACTTTGGAATATTTGCATATACGTGAACAGATCTCTTGGAGATTTATTTATTTTACTAGCCGTCCCCTGCCACGCGTTGCTGTGGCCCAGTCTGTATATATGTGTTTTGTGTGTGTATAAAAGATAAAGGTTGTCCCCTGACATTAAGTCCAGTCATGTCTGACTCTGGGGTGTGGTGCTCATCTCCATTTCTAAGCCGAAGAGCCAGCATTGTCCATAGACACCTCCAAGGTCATGTGGCCAACATGACTGCATGGAGCGCCGTTACCTTCCCACCAGAGCGGTACCTATTGATCTACTCACATTTGCATGTTTTCTAACTGCTGTGTATATATGTGTTTATATGTGTGTATGTATTTGTGTATCTGTGTATATATGTGTGTTTGTGTGTGCACGCGCATGTATATGTATTTGTGTATATGTATATATGTGTGTGTGTGTATGTGTGTGCATATGCATGTGTAGATGTTTAAGTATGTGTGTATATATTTGTGTGTTTATATGAGTATATGTATATTGTTTATATGTGTGTGCTTGTCTATATGCATATTTGTGTGTATATGTGTATGTATGTGTGCCTGTATGTGTATATTTGTGTGTGCTTGGGTATATATGTGTGTGTGTGTGTGTTTGTGTGTGTGTGTATATGCATATGAGTGTGTATGTGTATATATGTGTGTGTGTGTGTGTAATTACTTCTGTAAGTAGTAATGTGTGTGTGTGTGGTGTATTTTAGTTATGAGTGATGGCCACTCGTTGGCCTGATAGGTGTATTGTGTCTAAATTTGGTGTCAATTTGCCCGGTGGTTTTTGAGTTATGTTAATCCCACAAACAAACATTACATTTTTATTTATATAGATTTATTTGCCACACTGTTATCCCACCCTTTTCAGCCTGAAGGTGACTCAGGGCAACGTACGCAAAATACACATATTTATATTTACCTTATACTCTTAGTTAGAAGGTAATTTTTTAACATGGTTTCAAAATAATTTTGGGCACGAAATAATATTTGTTGGCAACAAACCATCAGAAAACAAAGTGTCACTCTCTCAACCACCCATCTGGGTGATTTTGAACTATTTAAGATTTTGGAATTTCAGGTAAGGGATGCTCAACCTATACCATTACAGTTGCTTTTTAAAGACTGCTTAATTTGCTCGTTTTGGAAAAAACGATTAAAATTGTGATTTTATACTAATTTTACAATACTAAAAAAATATAAACCTCTACGCCAGGCACAATGTGCGGATTGAGTTGAATGATGTTTTGAACTTGGAGAATGCTTTTAACTATCCTACTCGGACAACGAGGGATCGCCTAAGTAAGTAATTAAGTAAACTACTTAGATCCTACTTCTATTCAGTAGGTTTTCCTTATGCCGGAAATAACTAGTTATTTCAGACTACTCATTTCTCAAAGCAAGATACATTTATAGTCTGGATGTATGCAGAAAACATTGCTTTGTTTGTAGAGGAACAGAGCTTACTCACCATTATGTTCAGGAAAAATGGAATGGCTTTCCATCATATATAGGGAATGTGAGGAAGATGCATGAAAAGCAAAGCTTAGAGGCGTGGAAGTATACGACAAAAACTAGAATTATGGTGGTAATTCACAAATACTAGCAAGGAAACGCAAATGCAAACATATGGCCTATTTATAATTATAAGCTCCTTTGGGTTTAGAAGAAACTCACCTCTTCTTGAACCATAAATGAGTGCATATTTATGGCACTGAATAAATACAATAATAAAATGATTATGAGAAGATGATGGCTTTAGTGATAATGATGATGATGATGTCTGCAAGCATTAAAAGTATTATTTGGAATATCTTGCAGGTACAAAATAATAGCTGCAGTTACAAAAGAAGAGCTGACACGGTCACATTGCTGCACTGAACTATTATTCTCAAAGGTCTAATTTAACAGATAATGGTCCCAAAAGCCTATTCATTTGCTAAAGGTCAGAAATTTGGGCGCTTTTTTGTTGTTGCTTGTTTTGCTTTTTCCTAGCGCTGAAAACATTTCTTATTCTTCCCAATTGTGTACACAGAGAATGGACAGCCGGTTTTATGGAGTCGTTTTGAGTTGACCTTACCAACGGCCTCATCCATTTTTAACCCTGGGTCAGGAAAACATTTGACCATAGTTTCATGCCCAAGACAAATACATTTATATTCCAAGGATCTATGGAGCAAACTGTTCTAGACATCCATGTTATATTTTGGGGTTTTGTGCATTGCAGAAAAGTGACTTTCATGCAGAATCAACCATTCTCCATAACATTGGTAGAGAAATTCAAATCCCAAGTGCTGGATCTCCCTAGTTCAGTGTTTCTCAACCTGGGGTTTGGGACCCCTGGATGGGTTGCAAGGGGGTATCAGAGGGGTCGCCAATGACCATAAGAAAACACAGTATTTTCTGGGTTGTTGTATGTTTTTCGGGCTATATAACCATGGTCTAGAGGCATTCTCTCCTGACGTTTGACCTGTCAGGCCATTATATGCTAATCAAGGTGGTCAATTGAAACATTCACACCTCGCTCCAGCAGACAAGAGTCCTTTGTCCCACCCTGGTCATTCCTCAGACATATAAACCCTTTTTCCTAGTTCCAACAGACCTCACTACCACTGAGGATGCTTGCCATAGATGTAGGCGAAACATCAGGAGATAATGCCTCTAGACCATGGCCATATAGCCTGAAAAAACCTACAACAACCCAGTGATTCTGGCCATGAAAGCCTTTGACAATACAGTATTTTCTGTTGGTCATGGGGGTTCTGTGTGCCAAGTTTGGTTCAATTCCATCGTTGGTAGAGCTCAGAATGCTCTTTGATTGTAGGTGAATTATAAATCCCAGCAACTACAACTCCCAAATGTCAAATCTATTTTCCGCAAACTTCACCAGAATTCACATTTGCACATATTGAGTATTCATGCCAAGTTTGGTCCAGATCCATCATTGTTTTGAGTCCACAATGCTCTCGGGATGTAGATGAACTACAACTCCAAAACTCAAGGTCAAGCCACCAAACCTTCCAGTATTTTCTGTTGGTTCTGTGTCCCAAGTTTGGTTCAAGTCCATCGTTGATGGAGTTCAGAATTCTCTTTGATTGTAGGTGAACTATGAATCCCAGAAACTACAACTCCCAAAGGACAAAATCAATCCTCCCCAATCCCACCAGAATTCAAATGTGGGTGCATCGGGTATTTGTGCCAAATTTGGTCTAGTGAATGAAAATAAATCCTGCATATCAGATATTTACATTATGATTCATAACAGTAGCAAAATTACAGTTGTGAAGTGGTAATGAAAACAATTTTATGACTGGGGGTCACCACAACATGAGGAACTGTATTAAGGGGTCACGGCATTAGGAAGGTTGAGAAACACTGCCCCTAGTTTAATGTTGGAACCTTCTTTTTGGCCCCTCACAGCATCCTTGGCAGTTGTACACCTTTTGTACAGGTTTTGTACCATGAAAGGTTGAAATGGCATTCTTAGACTTATATGTTCCTAGCTAAAAAATGTAGGGATTTTTGGTCCTACTCTTTTACCTTTGATCCTATTTATCTCTAAAATGTGCTTCCCCTCCCAAGAAGCTATCTGGAATTAAATTTGATTCTGAGGCTGAAACATGTCACCTGATCAGTATTAGAGATTCTTTTAATAGTGCTTCTGTTATATGGGTGATCTTTCTAGTGGTGCTCATCTCCATTTCTAAGCCGAAGAGCCGGTGTTGTCCGTAGACACCTCCAAGGTCATTTGGCCAGCATGACTGCATGGAGCGCCGTTACCTTCCCACCGGAGTGGTATTTATTGATCTACTCACATTTACATGTTTTCGAACTACTAGATTGGTAGAAGCTAGGGCTGACAGCGGAAGCTCACGCCGCTCCCCAGAATTGAACCTGTGACCTTTCGATCAACAAACTCAGCATCTCAGTGCTTTAATCCACTGCACCACCGGGGGATTTATAGTTAATCTATAAAGAGCATTCTAAACTCCACCAATGATGGAATTGAACCAGACTTGGTACACAGACTTGGTACCATGACTTAACAGAAAATACTGGGTTTGGTGGGCTTTGACCTTGAGTTTGGGAGTTGTAGTTCACTTACATCCAGAAAGCACTGTAAAAATCAGGGAGGGGATCTGAGGATGAGGTAGGATTTAATTGCTTAAAGTGCTTCTGAGGTCATTTTATGCAAAGTTTGGTCAGGAGTATCTTACATTCAATCATTGATGATACATTGGAATAAGCAAGTTTTCAGGCTCCTCCTGAAGATTGCCAGGGTGGGGTCTTGCCTAATATCCAGGGGCGGCTCAACCCATTACACAAAGTAAGCATTTGCAGTATAGTTGATTTTGCCCAGGGGTGCTCTTGAGGGAAAATAGACCTTGACATATGCGAGTTGTAGTTACTGAGATATATAGTTCACCTACAATCAAAGAGCATTCTGAACTCCATCAATGATGGAATTGAACCAAATATGGCACACAAAACTCCCACGACGAATGGAAAATATAGATCAGTGATTGGTTGGGGGAGGGGGGACACGCCAAAATACTGTTTGCTTACCGTTGAAAATTACCTAGGGCCACCTCTGCTAATATCTCTACACCGTATTTGCACATGAAACCAAACTTGTGTACACTCAGCCACCAAAATCAAAAGTGTCAGTATCACAGCCAACCAAGTGGACAATTTGGGATTGTGGGTTATTTTGGAATTCTGGAGAAGGAACACTCAACCTAAGAAGAGGAACAAAATGTGGAATATTTCAATCAGTCTGGATGCATCCTACAACTTCCAGAATTGCTGGTGGACTTGTAATTCAAGCTCTGAACAGACTCCATGAGCTCCTGGATGATGGAGGAACATTTGGAGGTGGAGATGAGCAAGATAACCATGGGATGAATAGGATTATGCTGCTGGGTGGAGGCAGTGATGGAGGAGGTGGCAAAGGGAGGGCACAATTTCTCCTCACCCTTGTGCACGGCCAGCAGCGGCGCAATGGTGCTCTGGTGCCAGACAGTGATGAGCAGCGTCCAAGGGAGCACTATCAGCACGATGGCCAGGATGTCTCGTCTCTTCGGCATCTCCAGGACTGACGGGGCCCACGGCTCCTCATTACCTGGCAGCGAGAACCCCAGAAAGAGAACAACAGGGCACAAGGAGAACAGAAATAAATGGGCACGAAGGGACAAGATCAGAGAAAGAAAGAACAAATGAAAGAGAGAGGGGCAAAGGTGAGGCAGCTCGTAGGTCTTACCAGCGCTCACAACCCACCCATTGCCCATGCAGGGTTGCAGTGCCGTCGAAGAAGACGGGCAGCCTGACACTGAGGAGGAAAGAGAGGTTTCTCTGGGGGGACGTCACGGGTGCAGCGTGGCGAGGATTTCAGGGTCTCCTTGGGATGAAGGCCTGCAAGGCAACAGAGAAAGGAATAGGCAGAAAGGCTGAGATATTGGTTAGGTTTGCTGCTTAATCTGCTCTGGCTGTCAGAACATGTCAGTCTACAGAGGTACTTGCAGGAACACCTCAGCAAGCAAGAGTCCAAAAGTGGCAGGCTCAAATCTGGAACCTCTACTCATGGCGGATACCAAATGAGAGACTCCATCCTGGGCACACAGAAGACTGAATGACTTGGAAGGCACTAAACAGCACCGCAACCTTAAGAAATGGGGCCACAAATTGAAGTCCATAACATGTGAGTGTGGAGAAGAGCAAACCACAGACCACCTATTACAATGCAGTTTGAGCCCTGCCACATGCACAATGGAGGACCTCCTTATATCAACACCGGAGGCACTCCAAGTGGTCAGCTACTGGTCAAAGGACATTTAGTATAATGCCATTTTTTAAAAACTTTATGTTTTTTAAATGCATTACAACTGCACCCTTCGTTTGCTCCTGATATGATAAATAAAAATCAAATGTGCAGAAACATAAAGGCAGAAACATGGTCCTAATTGAATTTATGAATCTGAACAGCATGTTAGTTTTACAGAGGAATACATGGATATGCGAAGTGAAACCAATATTCTCATTTGGTTTTAATTAGGACACAAACTTCTTAATAGCTTTTTTTTCGAGTGGTCAGCTCTGCCACTCATAAACTTCAATTGTCCCTCATTGCTCTTTTTTCCCCACAATGGATTTTACTCTTCTATCTTTTGAGGAATGGAGATGATACACATGACCTGTTTCTCTCCCACTTTGCACCTGAGACAAAACATTTATAAGAATCACCCTGGATCAGTCTTTGCTTCTCTCCATGAACCAGCCGAAGCTCTTAGATCCTCGGGGGAGGCTCTCCTTTCACCCTTGCCATTATCACAGGCTCATCTTGTAAGCACAAGGGAGAGAGCCTTCTCCTCTGTGGCCCCCCGACTTTGGAACTCATTGCCCGGTGAGATTAGGAAGGCCCCCACCTTAGAAATTTTCAAGAGGGATCTCAAAACCTGGTTTTTCCGATGCGCCAGGCATGTAGCCGGGGGGGGGGGGGGTGTAGGGGCTTCAGCCCCCCCCCAAATTCTCATGGTGGTCCGCGAGAAGGCCTTACTCATACATTATTTAAACTGTTATGTTTATTCATATGATTTGATCACCATGCTCAATATATCCCATATGCATGGGGGTATTGGGTAACGATACAAAAGGTTTGCTAGGGTAGACCCTCTTTCACTCAGACTCAGCCCCCCCAAACCAAACTCAGCCCCCCCCCCCAAATAAAAATCCTGGCTATGGGCCTGCAATGCGCTTTTGGAGAGTAGCCACATTATCATACACAGTTGCTCCCCCTCAATGGTTGCTGTCCCCAGAGTATATTTCCCCACCTGTATGAAGGTCTATATTTATGACTCCGTTCCTTTATGAGTTTCTCCCCCACAAACAATCTGCTCCATCCCTATCTCATCCTGATTTTAGTATTTTTAGTATCTTAGTTTTTATTTTGCACATGCTCATTGTTGTTATGTTATGTTGTTATTTTATTGTGTACTAGCCGTCCCCTGCCATGTGCTGCTGTGGCCCACATGGGGGTTTGACCCAATTCTATTGTTGGTGGGGTTCAGAATGCTCTGTGATTGTAGGTGAACTATAAATCCCAGCAACTACAACTCCCAAATGTCAAGATTCCATTTTCCCCAAACTCCACCAGTGTTCACATTTGGGCATATTGAGTATTCGTGTAGAGTTTGGTCCAGATCCATCATTGTTTGAGTCCACAGTGATCTCTGGATGTAGGTGAACTACAACTCCAAACCAAAGGACACTGCCCACCAAACCCTTTCAGGATTTTCTGTTGGTCATGGGAGAAGTGTGTGCCAAGTTTGGTTCAATTCCATCTTTGGTGGGGTTCAGAATGCTCTTTGATTGTAGGTGAACTATAAATCCCAGCAACTACAACTCCCAAATGACGAAATCAATTTTTTTGAGTGAAGGACATACATTGGGTTTTTAGGTGTCTTGTGTCCAAATTTGGTAGCAATTCGTCCAGTTTTGTTAATCCCACAAACGAACATTACATTTTTATTTATATAGATGATTTTGCTTTATCCTTTTTGTACTCATATGTTGGAAGTATTTTACTGTGTTGTTATTGTGTTTTGGTTTTACTTTATTGTAATATGCTGTTGGGCTTGGCCTCATGTAAGCCGCCCCGAGTCCCCATTGGGGAGATGGTGGCGGGGTATTAAATAAAGATGATGATGATGATGATTATTGACACAAAAGCACAGTATATCACAGCAAACGAGATCTCTATGCTGGATTTCATATCACAAAATCACAAGTCGAACACTTCCCAAGCGTCTAGGACTGTGTGATGTATTTTCGAATTATGTGTGCAGATCCAAGTCAGGTGGCCTTTTGCAGTTGACAGATCATGATTTTGTCAATGTTTATTGTTTCCAAATGCCGTCTGAGAACTTTTGGCACAGCACCCAGTGCAGCAATGACCACTGGGACCACCTGTACTCGTTTATGCCAGAGCCTTTGCCGTTCGATTTTGAGGTCTTGATAGCGGCTGAGTTTTTCCTGTTGTTTTTCCTCAATGCGACTGTCACCTGGTATGGCGACATCAATAATCCAGACTTTTTTCTTTTCCACAGTTGTGATGTCTAGTGTATTGTGTCCAAAACTTCGTCAGTCTGGATTTGAAAGTCCCACAGTATTTTTGCATGTTCATTTTCTATGACCTTTGCGGGTTTGTGATCCCACCAATTCTTTGCTGCTGGTAGGTGGTACTTGTGACATAAGTTCCAGTGAATCATCTGAGCCACAGAGTTGTGTCTTTGTTTGTAGTCTGTTTGTGCAATTTTCTTGCAACAGCTGAGGATATGATCCATGGTTTCATCAGCTTCCTTGCACAGTGTGCATTTTGGGACATCCGCTGATGATGATGATGATGATGATGATGATGATGATGATTATGGTATACTACAAGACCCATAATGGCTGAGCTGATGGGAGTTGTAGTCTTCTCTGGTTTGGGAGAGGCTCTTTTAGCTTCTCCTTCTGGGTTCTATTCTCCTACTCCCTGGGTTTCCACCTCCTCTCCCTTTCTGCTTTCTATGCCTCAAAGCACCCAAGGCCAGAGTATATTAAACTGCCATAGAGCCTTGGCTCTGATGCTCTCCTGTTACGGCTCACGCAAGATTTAAGTAGGACCGTATTTTATCATGGGGGTTATCTTGGTAAGCGGCGTACATCACTTAGTTGGCAACGCAAGGGGTGGACAGTTTGCAAGCAGGGAAAAGCAGTTACGTTTCCTTGCTCTGGGGCAAAGGAAGGAGGATAAATCAAAGCCATGGGTAATTTCCTTGTGGGTGAAGGAAGAAAAAATATATATGCAGAAGCAGAGCTCTCGTCTTATAGAGCAAAGATGGGAATAGTTATTTTTTCAGACTACAACTCTCAGTCTCCTCTGGCTGCGTTGGATGGGGATTCTGGGAGCTGCGTTTTTTTTTAAAACTACTTATGGGTGCAGCTACATTGTAGAATTACCGTATATACTTGAGTATAGGCTGACCCAAATATAAGCTGAGGCATCTAATTTTACCATAAAAAAATTGGGAAAATATATTGACGCGAGTATAAGCCGAGAGTAGAAAAAGCAGCAGCTATGGTAAATTTCAAAATAAAAATAGATACCAAATAAAATTACATTAATTGAGGCATCAGTAGGTTAAATGTTCTGAAATATTTACATAAAACTGTAATTTAAGATAAGACTGTCAAACTCTGATTAAGCCATTATTCTAACCTTCTTCAATGTAAATGTGCTTACTACTACTACTATTACTACTACTAATAATAATAATAATAACACTTCATTTATATTCCGCCCTTCTCATTCCGAAGGGGACTCAGGGCAGATCACAGTACATATGCTTGGCAAACATTCAATGCCGCTTTGTATAAACAATACACACAAACAGAAAGAACAGGAGGTGGTTTGTTTCAGCTGTTTTTGGTGCCATGGAAGGTTGGGCTTGAGTCCAGGGGGTGCTGTTGCTCTTTCCTCTATGACAAAGAGCCATCAGGACTTCCTCCTTCCTTTTGGTCCCCAGCATTTTCTGATCTTCTTTCTTTATGGCGTCGTAAAACGCCTCCCCCACTTTTAGCAGTACTTAATTTCTCTAATTTCAGCTAAAGTTGTTTTCGAATTGCTTAGGTAAACAATGAGCTAGGGTGACAGTTGGCAGCTCACGCCAACCCAGGATTCAAACTTGCAACCTTTTGGTTGATAGATCTTATAATTACTGGTGATTTACCAGCTGTACTAAACCTCCGGCCCTACATATCCTTGCCATAATAGATTGAAATAATAAATGTAATAATAATAATAATAATAATAGCATAAAATAATAAATAACATTGACTCTAGTATAAGCCAAGGATTGCTTTTTCAGCCTTAAAAAAGGGCTGAAAAACTAGGCTTATACTCAAGTATATACAGTAATGCAGTTTGACGCCACTTTCCAATACTATGGAATCATAGTATTACTAGTTTGGTTTTCCATTTTTCATGTCAGGAGCAACTTGAGAAACTGCAAGTCGCTTCTGGTGTGAGAGAGTTAGCTGTCTGCAAGGACGTAGCTCAGGGGATGCCCAGATATTTTTTGATGTTTGACCATCCTTGTGGGAAGCTTCTCTCATATCCCTGCACGAGGAGCTAGAGCTGACAGACGGAGCTCATCCACACTCTCCCCAGATTTGAACCTCTGACCTGTTGGTCTTCAGTCCTGCCGGGTTTAACCCACTGCACCACCAGGAGCTCCTATTAGTCTGGGCACCACAATTGAAGAGAGATATATTGACAAGCTGGAATGTGTCCAGAGGAGGGTGACTAAAATGCTCAGCGGTCTGGAGAAGAAGCCCTATGAGGAGTGGCTTAAAGAGCAGGGCATGTTTAGCCT